AAAAGAAAGTCTATTATATTATCCCAGTCTCGTTTTTTAGTGTTCAAGTTAAAATATGTTAAAATGAGAAAGTAACTAAAATTTAAAAGATCTGTGAACAAAAACATTTAGATATCATCATTCTTTCTATTTTTTCAAATGTTAAATTGTTTAAATTTAAATTAATTTTAAAATTATACACAAAATAAGACAAATACATTTGATAGTGCAAATGCATTTGCGTGCGCATTTAAAAAGCAATAAAATAAAAAATGCTTATGCTTTGATTAAATTAAATGACAAAACAACATACTGCATGTGCTTACATGCAACACAAAACCAAAAGAAAAAATATATTCACCTATAGATATAAAACATGCAGCCAATAGACCAGCTCTATCACTCCATAATTCTTTTGTAAGAAGATATGTAGATATAGCTGTTAATCCACTATTAATAGTAAAAGATAACTTCTGTCAATTCAAAGATAAGCATTTGAAAAATTAAATATTTAATCTTTTAAATTATGAAAAAATATTATACAACAAAATAGATTAGACAAAATAGAAATTAGGCCAGATATATTTCCCACCAGAGATAAATCCTTATTGAAAACTATGCCAAGTTAAGTAGGAGCCCCCTTCCCCAACAAAATAAAAACAACAACGATAAAAAATAGTTAGCTCCATTAAACTTATAGCACCTCACCCAAGTAGAAATCTGTTGTAATATACATAACCTTGATTCACTTGCCCACAAATTTCTTTATAAACAGATCCTCACTGTGAACCATAAAAACTGCTAGGTTACATTTCTCCATACCTATTTTTTTTTTTCTTTCTTAAATATATGCAGTTTCGGTATAACTTTTTAAGAACAGAACAAATTTAAATTTGATCAGTAGTATTAACAATTTAAGTAATAAAAAAGTAAAAAAAATGAATATGAGGCCTTGTTTTAAATAAAAAAACAACTTAAAAACTTTCTAACCACTTTATTAAAGTCATCCTCGAAGACCAACAGTCTTCTTTATTTCCAGTAACTTCTGGGGTACCTCAAGGTTCTACCCTTGGTCTTATTTTGTTTCTTATCTAAATTAAGGATCTTTCAGACAACCTTACATCTAAAGTAGCTCTTTTTGCTGATGACTCAATTTTGTACTCCTGTCTTGACAAAAAGTCTTCTCTTCTCGATCGCTTAGGATAGGCTGCTGATTTTGAATCTGATCTCACTTCTGTAACAGATTGGGGCTCACTGTGGCTTGTGAATTTTAACTCCAACAAAACTCAGTTATTTACTGCAAACAACTATCGCAGTACTGTTAACATTCCTATATTAATCAACGGCAACCTTCTCACTGAGTCCTCTTCTTTATGTCTTCTTCCAAAAACGCATTGTAAACGTAGTTGGACCTGGTCTATCTACTAAGCTTGAGCCTCTTAACCCATTGTCATAAAGTTGCATCTCTTCCTTTTTTCTACAAATACCACCATGGTTGCTGTTCAAATGAGCTATCATCTCTAGATCCAACAACTAAAACTTATTCTCGCTTGACTTGTCATTCATTAAAGTCTTAATCCTTTACTGTACCTGTCCTTACATGCTTCAAAAACTTTTATTTGCTTAGTTTCTTCCCCATACTTTAACTCTTTGGAACTCTCTCCCATCTTTATGTTTTACTGACTCATATAACCTTCAATTTTTTAAATCTCCTGTCAACCGTTTACTTGCTCTACAACTCTATTATTTTTTTTATAGTAACTCCCAACTTAGTAGTGGTTGCTTGCAGCTTTGTTGGGAGTGAATCCGAATTTAAAAAAAAAACTTAATTTAGTTAGTTTAGTTGCATTTATTTTACTTTTTTCCTACAAATTGAGACAGTGACATAAAAGTGACATGGCTGTAACTATTACTTTATAAAGGATAAAAAAAAATTGATTTAAAGTGTTTTATTTTGTTTTTGAAAGAGAGCAATGCCACAATAAATCTTTATCACATTAATGGTGTAAATGAGGTAAAATATACATTTTTATGCTACTTCTGATTGAATTTAATCAAATACAAAAAAACAACTTAGCCAACATTTATTTGTGTACATTTAAAAAAAAAAATTGTATATATAAAAAAATTGAGAAAAGTAAAATCTGGCATTCTTTATGACCTACAGCGCTCTAAACCTCCAAACGCTCTAAATTTATTTTCAGGCCCTTTTGCTCATAGACTTAAATTTTTAAACAAATTTAACAAACTAACCTAAATAGTGGTGCTAAAAAAACACAAACATCTCGTATATGTACTGTAAAGTGTAGAGTATTAAGAAGCCAATGTAAACCACCAGCAGTTACCATTAACCCCGGATAAACCTGAACAAAAATATCAAAAACAAACTAAAATTTAAATTTAATTTAAATATTAAATTTTTTTTTTTTTTTTATATATATATATTTTATTTATTAATTAAATAATTAATTTAAATAAATTTTAATTTATCTGAAGTAACTTTTAATGAATAAAATGATAACTAAAATTATAAATTTTAACATTCACCTGAAAATTAACAATTACTATTACTTATTAATTACTTATTACTATTACTTATTAATTAAATTGAAAATTAACAATTACTATTACTTATTAATTACTTATTACTATTACTTATTAATTACTTAATAATTAAATAATTAATTTAAATAAATTTTAATTTATCTAAAGTAACTTTTAATGAATAAAATGTTAACTAAAATTATAAATTTTAACATTCACCTGAAAATTAACAATTACTATTACTTATTAATTACTTATTACTATTACTTATTAATTAAATTGAAAATTAACAATTACTATTACTTATTAATTACTTATTACTATTACTTATTAATTACTTATTAATTAAATAATTAATTTAAATAAATTTTAATTTATCTAAAGTAACTTTTAATGAATAAAATGTTAACTAAAATTATAAATTTTAACATTCACCTGAAAATTAACAATTACTATTACTTATTAATTACTTATTACTATTACTTATTAATTAAATTGAAAATTAACAATTACTATTACTTATTAATTACTTATTACTATTACTTATTAATTACTTAATAATTAAATAATTAATTTAAATAAATTTTAATTTATCTGAAGTAACTTTTAATGAATAAAATGATAACAACTAAAACTATAAATTTTAACATTCACCTGAAAATTAACAATTACAATAGCAACCTCATACAAATTTTATTACTCATTGCAAAAAATTTAAAAAATTGGAGATTTTATTATTTTATTATTTTTTTAAATTCAAATTTAATAGTTTAATTTATTTTTTAGGAAAATAAGAGCCCAAAATTGATATTCCTTTTGTTAAATTAAAATTTTTAGCAAAAACTAATTAAAAATTTAAAACATACTGTTCCACCAACAATTCTACCCAGGGGATACCAAGCACGATCATCAAACCAGTTTAAAAAGTCATAGAAACCATGTTCAACAAGATGGTGTGTAGCACGGTAGTTAAACCTAAAATATTAAAAACTTGATTAAATTTGATTAAATTTGATTAAGTCATTGTTTTACAAGTCACAAGTTGGCGTTAAGTTTTTTGCACTCAGATCTAAGTCAAGTCGCAAGTCCAATAAAAATAAATTCAAGTTCCTAACTCCTGATTCAAATAGAATCAATTCATAATATACTTTTCATCTAACTTAATGCCATTGTTAAAATACAAGTTTAGCTATATGCACAAATTTTAATTTCTTATATTATAAATTGTAAAATAGTATTATAAATTTACAAACATTCAAATACATGTATACATTTTATCTAATCTTAACACAAATTTTTATGATTAATTGCATTTGATCAAGTTTGTCGACAGTATGTCAGATATCGAAGCCTGCTAAATTGATATTATGCCTGTGTCTGAAACTCCTCTGAAACACTAGAGCTACTTTTTTCTTTTTTTAACAAAAGTGTAAAATTTTAAACTTTTCACTTTAATGTCTACTACTGTTAAAATTGCACACCACATATGCTGGAATCTTATTTAGGATGTAAACTAAGTTTCATACTGTGGAAGATATTTGCTTCTCTAAATTATTTTACATCTCAAATATGAGGCTTGTGATTTAACTGGCAACTCACAAGCCAAGTTTTAAGTCATTATATTTTGTCAAGTCAAGTTTAAAGTATTTAAAATAGTGACTTGAGTCAGACTTGAGTCACAATTGTAGCTGTCTTTAGCTGAAAATAGCTCTGGTACAGGCAAAATAAAACAGGCTTATTTCTCATAAAGTCAACTAAGCATATTGTTTACCCACACTGTTTTTTAAAAAATGCAATAATTAAAAATAACCTGCATTTATCAAGCAAAGGCTTTGGAAAAATCAAAGAAATTTAAGAATGACATAAAGCTGATGTCTAGTGCCTTGTACCTAGTACCTTCTAGTGCCTGGGCACTAAACAACAGATTTATGGTACTATAACTACATGCTTTATGGTGCTATTAGAATCATTTAAAAACAGTAACAACATTTGTTTTAAGGACTTTGATGTATATGTGACAACAGCAGGCTCTTTAAACATTTCAAAACAATAAAATAACTATTTAACCATTCTGTAAAACTTCTCTAAGCTGTACAAAATAGAGGTCTCTGTAGTTTATTAGGAACCTATTGCTAAAAAAGAGCATTTTTGAAATGCTTTTTTATCCCTCGAATTAAAAAGAAACAAAATAAAAGTTCATTGAAAATATCACAAATTTTCTTCAAAACATAATCAGTGTAATTTCTCAAAAAAACACACACAAACTATCAAGGCAACCTGTGTAGCTCACCAAGCCTACTTAAGACAGGTTATTTATAGTTCATGCATTCATTTACTTATATATACTAAAATAACAAAATAACATGTAAACATGTTTTGTAAGCTTCCTTTAACATTTTTATTGATTTACAAAACATGTCAAGACTAAAAAATATTGTGTTATTTTTAAAAATATTTATGCCATTGCTTTGTTCATTATACAAACACGCGAGCACAAACACATACAAATACCTTTGCATACTTAGCCTAAGATGTCATTGTGATGTTATGCTGAAATAAGGATTTGTGGAAGGCTGTACATATACCCATTTAGGGTTTAGGTTAAGGCAGTTAATATTTTCCATAAAAAATATTTAAAAAAAAAGTTCTTGAATGTTAATTTGGGTGGCACACAAACATGATCGGCGCTATCGAAATAGGTCTAGAGCCCCTGATATATATACACGCTTTTTTAGGCAAAGGATACACTTTTTTAGGCAAAGGCTAGGAGATGCCAACTCCGACTTAAAACACCCTTACCTTGGGGCTCTTGGTTGAGTAAAGGCTAGAGATAGTGTCTTGATAAAAATACTCATCTTGGGCAGTTGTTAAATGTATCCGGCTGCTGTCTTGTAGAAGGCCTCCTAGGCAAACACTTAAGGGGTAAATAGATACTATCTGTTGACCAGCCTCGCACGCCTTCTTCATCTATTAGGCTAGCGCAGATGTATTTTTAATACATTGTTCCCAGTTTAGGATGTTGAATGCTGGATCTTCTTGACTCGATGCATGGGTTTTGCTTGTGTCTCTGTTTTTATGACTAGGCAACTCATTCTATTATCTCCTAATGAGGGTACACCTCTAAAACTCAATTTTATGGTTCTAAGGCCGGCTGATAGTCAGGTTTCCTGAACTTTGTGGTAGCTCTCAGAGAGGCTGATTCCATCAACATCTGAAAAATATCAAAGTGTTAACAGTGCAATGTTGCGCATGGATGGTGTCCCTATTTGTACTTTTGGTTGTTTTTCCAAGGCCACATTTGGAGCCCATTTGTTACGGCTTAGGGTTTACTAATACCAATGAAGCAATTGCTTGGGCTATTAAACAGTGTACTGAGTACTGTTCAAGTTCATTAAAAAATTTAAAAAATAAATACAGTAAAAAAAACTATAAAACACAAAAAACCATTGTCATCACCAAGTTCTTTAAACCTATCATTCACTAATAAGCGTGGTCTTCGAAGTAACTTTTCTTCTGTTGAGTCTTATCTCTTGCAAAGTTCACCAGACCTATTTGCTCTTTGTGAGACTTACTTGAGTTCAGCTGCCCCATCTTAGGATCTCAGTGTTGATGGTTATATTCTTTTAATTTGTAAAGACTCCAATAGTCACATGCTTGACCTGGGCATTTACATTCGTAAGAATTCACCCATTTGTCGGGAAACTAGGTTTGAATCATCAGACTATTCTTTTATGTGCTTTCGTTTAGCACCACTTCACTATATCACCTTTCTCTTTGTTCTATATAGCTCTCTTTCATTTCAAGACTGCACTCTTCTTGATGTTATTTCTGATCATTTTGACCAAGCCCTCTCTCTTTATCCATCAGCCAATATTGTCAGTGATTCTGCTGGCATTAAAGCCCACATCTTTTGCTTTCCTCAATCCCTAACTTAAATAGTTAACTTTCAAAATCGCTTTCCAGACAACCTGAATCATTTACCTTCTCTATTCGACCTATGTCTTGTTTCTGATCCTAGTCAGTGCTCAGTTTCTACGCATTCACACTTAGATGCTACTGATCACAGTTTGAACTCTCTAAAACTATTATCTCATTTTTCTTTATCATCTAAATCCATAGATCACAGGCTTGGACAGGAATGGCGTGCGATCGCACTCTATAACTGACCATGCTAATATTTTTATTTCTTTACAACTTGACCACGGCTTTTTTGATGTTTTAACAATTTGAATGCAATAAAAAAGGGTTACGTTATAAATATCTTTTAATAGTTGATCTCTTCTAAAGTTTTTTATTTTACGCAAAGGCTTTAAATAAAACCATAAAATTAATTATAGTTATTGTTTACATAAACGCTTGTGTAAATTGATAAAAAACATAATAAGTTTTTTTTATGTAGGCATTTATTTTTTATGATAAATCTAAATGTTTGAAACTATTTTCTTATGTCTTCCTAAAACATTTTTGAACCATTATTTTTAAAAAGAATTTTTTTAAGTCACTTTAATTTGTGAATAAGTTCAAAAGCTTTTGTGACGACTAACTTTTATACATTTTATGTGAATTACACAAGAATATAAAATAACTTTATTTACTAATATAAGCATGTATTTTGCTGATTTAATGAAAAAGTTTTAAACCATTTTGTAGTGTTCATACAATTAATTTTTATGATTAAATTTACGATTTTTTAAAATGTCTTAAATTAACATTTTATTTTTTGTAAACAATTTTTTTTTTTTTTTAATTTCGTTAAAAATGAATGAGATTAAATCTTTTATAATAATTTTTAAATTTGTTACGCAAAGCGCTTATTAATAAAGTTGTAATGCTCAAATTAAAATTAAATTAAAAAGCTTATTGTCAGTTTATTTTATTTAAATCACAGACGCATTTTATTTATTTATTATTATTTTATTTTTTTTATTTTTACGACTAAAAAAGTTCAAAACCTTTTTTTAATTAGACTCACTAATTAGAGCATGAAATTAGTAAAAATTATTATTTTAAAAAGCCTACGTTATTTTTTTAAACAATTTTTTTTTTGCAACTTTTTTGACAAAATAAATGTTTATACAATTTAAAAATATTATTAAAACACTTTTTAATAAATTTAATAAAATTTGTTCTTTTATTAAACCAATCATTAGTAGTAATTTAAACTTAATTTAAAAACGTTTTGCGTAGCTTTAATAACGCTTAAAAAGATAAGTTTAAATAACGTTTATTTCTTACATAATTAAAAACGTAACAAAAAGTTTCGCTTCGAGTTTAAGTTTATATTTTCTTTTTTCGCTAGGAATATTTTTTTTGTTAGTTTTTTTTTTTCTTTTTTTTTTTTTTTAATTTTTTTTCTAGTTTAAGGTTAGTGTAGCGCTTCTACATTCAGAACATTTCTGAAAATTTTAACTTATCAAAACATATAAACATTGTTTATTAAACAGTCATGGTCAAGTTGTCAAAAAATAAAATCATTTGCGTGGTCAGCAATAGCGCTCGATCGCATGCCGTTCCTGTCCAAGCCTGAGATCATCCAGATCATATTTTAAAAATCTGGAAAATCAGTAGGGTAAAATATCCGGAATATATTTTCCCTAATATTCCTTTTAATTTTGATTTTAGCTATGCTGTATTGAATTTTTTTTAACTTTTCTTAATTTATGTATGAGTAATGAGTGAAAAAGCTTAAAAAACAAATATATTACAAAAATATATTCCTAAACTTGTATGTATAGAAAACATTTTTGATATCCAGAAAAACTAAAAGTTGAGAAAAATATCCGGAATTCCAGAAATATCCGGAAAAAGACAGTTCTCCGGAGCGATCTGATTCGTCTAACTACCGTTCCATTAATCTTCTTCCTATCATAAGCAAGGTTTTTGAATCTTTAATTAACAAAAACTTAATATCTCATCTTGACTCTAATAACTTACTTTCTGATCATCAATATGGATTTCGATCTTCTTGTTCTACGGCTGATTTGTTAACAGTACTAATCGATAGGTTTTATGGAGCATTAGATATAGGTGGAGAAGTTAAGGCCATCGCTCTTGACATTTCTAAAGCTTTTGATAAAGTTTGGGATGCTGGTCTTCTCCTTAAGCTTTCTTCTTACAGTGTATCTGGAAACATCTTTAAGATTATTGAATCTTTCCAATCGTAGTATAAAAGTTGTCCTTAATGGACAGCACTCTTCTTTTTATTCTGTAACCTCAGGGGTTCCTCAAGATTTTAATTTACATTAACGATCTTCCAGATATTCTCACATCTAAGGCGGCATTGTTTGCTGATGATACTACCATTTATTCTTGTCATGATAAGAAGCCAACACTCTCTGATTGTTTGGAGTGGGCATTAGAGCTTGAAAAGGATCTCACTTCTGCTATAGCATGGGGCTTACAGTGGCTGATGAACTTTAATTCAGATAAAACTCAATATTTTTCAGCCAATTGTTATTGCAATATTTTAGACCTTCCTATATTTATGAATGGTAATGTACTCGATGAGTCATCTACCCTTTATCTTCTAGGATTAACTCTTACTTCTGATCTTTCTTGGAAACCATAAATCAAATCCATTGCAAAATTAGCATCTAATAAGGTTGCATCTATTTATCGAGCTCAACACTTTCTTACTCCGGATTCTACTCTCTATCTCTTTAAATCTCAAACCTGTCCTTGTATGGAATACTGTTGCCATATCTGGGGCAGATCTTCTAATGACGCCTTTTCTTTTAGACAAGGTGCAAAAACGCATTGTAAACATAGTTCGATCTGCTCTTGCAACCAAACTTCAAACATTATCATATCACTGTAATGTTGCTTCTCTTTTTTTTTTCAACAAATACTACAATGTATAATGTATAATTGCTATAGTGTATAATGGGCACTGCTCTAAAGAGCTAGCGTCTCTTGTGCCATCTACTAAAATTTGTTTTTGTATTACTCGCTATTTAATGAAGTCTCATCCTTTTTCTGTGACTGATCCAGCGAATTCCAAAGAACTGATGTTCCAGGAAAAAAACTAGACGAATAAAAGTTTTTGGGGCCATGTTACTTTTTAGCAAAAATAATCAAAAAAAATAAAAAAATACATCTGTTATTTAATATAATATAAATATTGCTAGACCATTTTTAGAACAAGAAATTTTTCTTAAACCTAATGTGAATCGATAGAGGGATTATTAAAGTAAGACAACAAAATTGTCAAATATTACATAAAATAAAATAAAAAATAAAAAAAGTTTGACTGGAAATTAAATATTTATCAATATTAAAGATATTAAAGACATAACTATAAAAATTTTAAATTTGTGAAGAGAATTTCAATAAGTTGATAAGCTTTATTACATACCAAAATAAAACTAGAGTGTAATTTTGTAACGCATTTAAGGTTATGTGATGTAACTTACATCATTGCTTCAAAATATAAACAAAAACTCACGCAAAAAATAAACTTAGTGCTAAACATGCCAAG